TTGAAAACAAGGCAAACGCCACAGCCCAGGACCCTGGCCCAAGCAGACCTCTCCAGGTGACTGGGCAGGGGGAAGAGCTTGTCCTGTAGGTGTAGAGATTGCAGCATCGGAGAGGGTATAGTCCCTGGAGGTGGGACACCCTCTGGCAGCTTTGGAGAGGGCTGCACTGTCCAGATAGCTGTACCCACCTAGTGTCCTGGCTGTTATCCCTCAGCTGGGTGCTGATAGCTTGTTCCTTGCTACACGTGGATGTAAACACACCATAAACCAAAGAATTCAACCCCTTTCCTCTTCTGGCTGGAGTGTGCTGAATCCCAGGGTGTTTTCTTGGTTTCAAGGGGATTTCTAGGTCATATAGATTAAGGGTTCTTGAACTTTTTGCTTTCTCAGGGACATATCCGGAGGTTTGTTTGCTTTCTAAGTACTCCTGTTTCTGGCAAACCGTTGCTTGGGTGACACCAGCAGCTTGGTTGTGGTGCCATTGATGGACTAGACTCACAAACTGTCACATAATTAAATTGTCTGATAATAAAAATAGTCCAGCAGTGTTTATTCATTTGCTTTCCCTTGTTGCAGCACAGCCTAGGCCTTTTCATTCTGTCTGCAGCCATAAACATTTGCAGTTCACAACGTTTCATGTTCCACGTTGCTTAGGAAAAATAAACATTTTCCTTTTTTTGTTGCCAATAACAACTACCACCAAATAATCTGGAAACAAAACGTCAAGCACCAGGAGGTAGTGCCTGATGGTGCACGGAATATAGGAAGTGCGTGGAAAGGAACGTCCAACTGTGCAACAGTTGCATACAACACCAGGCCCTGCAGCACCTCCCAGTTGGCCTCGCTTGGCCAAAGGTTGGTCTTGGCCTTCACACCCCCTCTGGCTCTGAGTACAGTGGGACCAGACTCTAGCCCAGCAGAAAGGAGCCAGTCCTGTTGCAACAGCAGTTTGTGCAAGCAAAGTGTTCACAGAGGGATTGGGAAACTCTGCCCTGTTGAGGGTAGGGGTGGCAAGTAGGATCAATACATCTGGTGACTTTGTCTATGCTGTTTTTTTTCCACTGATTTTCCTGCTTCCAGTAATACTGCCTATTGATTAGGAGAATGCTCAGCCCAGTCCAATCAGACCAAAAATGTATCATCTCTGCCCTGACATGTCAGCTGGAGCATTAGCACCTTCCAAGTTCATGCAGCGCTGCGCTTCTGGGATGTGACCTGTCTCCACTCTCCCACAGTGGAGTGGAGCTGGTTCCAGGGTTATCGCTAACTAGAGGCTGTAGCCACATTGTAAATCCAAACCTGCAAATCTCTGCTGGGCTGAGGAGCAGAATCACCAATCAGGCACAGCACTTTGTGCATCAGGAAAACAGCCCTGATTTCAGGCAAGAACATTGCAATTTGCTAAGGGAGAAGGGGGTGCAGAGTCCCCAAGGGCAGAGCCACAAGGCAATGGCCAGGGATGGGGCGATGAAACTATCTTGAGAATTGCCAGGGAAGCATCTGTGCTCTCCTCCCCATTCACTGAGCTAAGAGAAATGAGGTGCCTGCAAACAGCTGGAAGCAAAAAAATGCTTCAGTAGTTTGTGGGTTCTTCTAACTAGGCAAACAGGCAGCAATTACCAGGGCCTCACCAAACACGTTAGGTAACAGAAGAAAAGAGCAGGGAGAAATGGAAAAGCAGCAGAAAAAAGGACAAGGAGGTGGGAAAGAAAACACATTAGTTCATCCCCTAGAAGGAGAAAAAGCAGTCCTGAATGAAAGGGGAGGTATTCGAGACTGATGGGATTCAGATTACAGTAGGAACTTGTTTGGTTGCTCCCATCTGCCAGGGAATGGGATTTCCCTTCATGTCCATGCTGCAGGAGCAGGCTGAAGACCAGACGTGCGACACTGGAGACATATTTATGTGCAGAGCAGGCAACAGAGGATGGAGCCAGGCAGAGGAGCACAGGGACTGCCAGGCAGCAGCTTCGCTCCCTTCTGGCTGTGCTACTGCTTCTCCTGGGATGCTCTGGGGACTGAATGAGGCTGGAGATGCTCCTGGCTCCTCAGGATGGCTGCGACACTTCCTGCGGAGCTTGGCCAGTGTTCATGTGGCCTCAGCAGACCCACAAGTGATGTCTGTTGTGTCACAGCACTTGAGGGCTGGTAAAGCTGGAGGAAACTGAGTGGGCAGCCGGCATCTCTGCTGTGGCTTCTGCTCTCCCACAGGATTTTTCTTTTCTCTCTGTTTTGCCATCAGCTTTTCGGTCACAAGACTGCTAGGAAGCATTGCTCTCTTTGCAAGGGGCTGTGGCCAGTCTGAAGTGCAGCGATACTTCTGCAGAGAGGCTGGCAGATTTCTGCAGTCCCTCCTGTCCCCCAGGCTGGCCACAGGGGATTGCTGCAGGATGGAACAGGCTCTCTTGTTTTGTTTGTCCAATTCCCTTTCCTTCTTCAGGGATCTCTCTTTGATTTTTGTCTTTGCTAATCTTTTCCCCTCTAGTGTTGAGACTAAAGGAGTGGAGACACCCAGCAGCCACTGCCTTCCCAATGCTGCTGCTGGAGTAGAGCAGGCGAGGGGCTGCTGCGGACTGCCACCTGCTACACAGGCAGTCAGGGTTCAGACCCCAGCTTGGCTCCAGAGGACAGAGCCAGATCTCCCCTACATATCCCCCCACAGCCCACAGAGTGGGTAGGAGGCAACCTAAGCGAGAGGATGCGTTATCTAAGCCTTGGGAAGGCACTGCAGCAAGGTGTGTCCTTTCAAGAAGGCTCAAATCTCCAGCCTGACAGGTCTCCAGAGCTTTGTTTGGCAAGTGGTTTCTGCCTGTCACATTTCCCTTTGCCGGCTGCGCCCGTAGTGGCCTTTTCCAGCCCTTTCCTGCTATCGAGCTAATGCCAGTTCAGTGACGACAGGGAGAGACTTGCTGCCCTACCAACTGTTTGTCCAGGGGCACAGCAAGCGCATGGAGCAGGCAGGCAGATCTAATCTCCTGCCTTCACCCGGAGCCATTCATAGGGCCACCCTGTGTCCTTCACAGGGCCACGGTCATGGCAGAGCACAGGAGCAGGGAGGGTCGTGCCCAACACAAAATGGGGTTTGGACAGATGAAAGTTGGGGTTCATGCCAGTGGCCTCCAGCTCACGAAGAAGAGAAACAAAACTTACCCCACTTCTGCTGCTGAACAATGGGCTCTCTCCAGGTAGAAAGGAAACAGGCCACTTTTCTCCTCTCTGCCCCAGCTCAGAGGAAGATGATGGTCCCAAACTTGTACCAGTATCCCCAGCCATGAAGCCAATAATAGGCCTTTCTGGGAGACTGTCTGGACCGTCCAGCAGCCCAGGAATGTCCTTGACATGGCTGAGACAAAAAGCCAGCCAGCTGGCTCAGCTCCAGCCCCCTGCCTACCTAAGTGATTCCTTGAGGACTTCACAGCGCTCCCAGCTCCACAGCAAGGGGGATCCATCCCATGATCCATCTCCGCTCCTGCTGCTTGTGTGACTTGGCGTGGCTGGCCAGCATCTCCTGCTCCTGGGAATCCAGACACATTCATTACCTGATGTGCCCAGAGTGGCAAGTCCTTCAGAGTGGCTTCAGGTGGTGGCAAGTGCTCTCAGAATTCATGGCAGTGAATGTGTAGTGAATACTAGAAACTGCCTTCAGACCGGACTCCAGGGAGAAGCACCAGCAAGATCAGCTGCCATCATGCACTCAGCAGAAACTCACCAGGGCTGAGAACAAGATGCTGGCCAAGACATGGATCTTATCAGCTCCACGTGCCTCTTGCAGCCATGAGCTGCCGGCCCAGGCAGGGTGCCAGACAGCTCTCAAATTGCTCCTGATAGAAACACAGGTATCTCCAACTTGGCAGGGTTCCAGTATTCACCAGGAGCAGTGTGGCACTCACCTTGGACAGGCCACCCCTCACACCCTCCTTTGATTAAAGCATTAAATAGACTCAGTGCCATAGCTGGTGGGCTGGGTAAGTGTTGTTATACAACACTTAAAATGCCTTTTGCTCTTTGGAGGGCAGATGGTGCAATTCCTGTGGTGCATCAAAGTGCGCCACAGACACCCAGATTGGGCTGATGCAGGGCCTGGTTTCTGAGGCAAAGGATAGCAAGAGGTGAGAGCAGCCAAGTTATAGGGACTGGCTGGGAAGGACAAGCCAGCATGCTGGAGTGGTGACAGAAATAAGCCAGACACCTAAAACGCACCTTGCGTGACCTGCCCAGTTCTTGTGTCCATCCATGCATTGCTCAAAGGCACAGGGCCACTACAGAGATGGGAGTCCGACAGCGGAATTAATGCCATGTGCTTCACACTTCATTCCTGCCCGCATGAATGGGCTCATTGTAGGGGAACAGTGCGACGGCAACATGCGGATTACACGGCATCATGGCAGTGCTGGCATCACGCCAACCTGACCTTCACATCCCTGGCAAAGCAGGAAGGAAAACTGCCCTGGAAGATAAAGCCCTTTCCAAGGATAGGAAGGGGATCATCTCTCTGGAGCCCTGCTGGATGGCAGCCCATCTCTTGGGATAGAGATGCGTCACTGATTCCTCCTCATGCTCAAACATCTTTCAACTTAGCTGCACAGAATTAGGTGACAAATTCTGCACTTGGATCTTTGCATTGTGCAGCCTGGTACTTGTGGACTTACACACTCTCTCACCCTACATGCCTCACAGCAGACTGTAAATTTAGTTTGGGTCATGCGCTGTGGAGGCACTGTGCCCCATAACCCTGCTGTCAAGTGGGACCTGAGACAGTGCTCCATCACTGTCTTTGTGCCCCTCATCACTGTGTTTTCACAGGGGGAAGTCACCACTGCCCTGTGCCCCAGCTCCAAGCCAACCCTCAGTCCTGTGTGTCCCACTCTCTGGCTTACACTGTGTCCTACCATGCTGAGGGACTGTTCAGCATGCCAGGAAAACAAGGGGATATCATGGGAGGGAAAAGAGGGGGTGCAACTGTGTGCTGGGGGGCTAATGGCTTCCTCGCATTAGCAACTATGCCTACCCAGGGCCAGTGTGGAATAGAGGTTAAAAGCATGTGGGGTAAAGGGGGAAAGTTTACTCCCTAGTGAATTCTTTCTTTTTTGGAGGGTCTGGTTCTCATCCACAATTTGCAAAAGCATTTCCTGCCGGCCATCTGCCAAGGAAGAGTGAACCAAAATAGAGCAGTGCTCAGGGAATGCCATGGCCTTGCATACTGCCTCCCAGGTGAACACTGGCCTGGGTGCAGCAGAGCCCAAGGTCACCACGAGAGACAGGGAACAGCAGCTCTTTTTGGGGAGCAGATGTGCCCACAGCAGGGTGTGGTGGCCCTAGAGAGACATGGAACTCACCACTGCAGGACTGCCACCAGGATTCCCTGTCCAGGTACTTGCCACTCTGCACCAGGAGTCCCTGTCCAGGCACTGAAGTTCTTTCATTTTCTCTTTCAGGATGTGTCTCGAAAACACCACACCTGGAAGGAGCAGAGTCCCTGGCTTTCTTCCCTGGTCAGTGCTGTGGGGACTGGTGTGCCCACCAAGGGCTTCCCCACGGGTGCCGAGGAGCTGGCGGCCAGCTGGAACCCACCTCGCTGCGGCGTGCCCGACCTCCCCACGCCGCCTGACAGCCAGAACGGGCGCAATCGGCAGAAGCGGTTCGTCCTCTCAGGCGGGCGCTGGGACAAGACTGACCTCACCTACAAGTAAGAGAGGCCAGGAGAGGGCATTAGGCTGGTGTGGTTACCCCTCTGCAAAGCTCTCAGTGCGAGGTCACTTGGAACACAGCAGGCTGTGCTTCCCTGTGACATGCCCATATACCTGGAGGGCAGCCGCAGCCTGGGAACGGGCGAGTCACACATGGGCAAGTCAGGGGGATTGCACCAGTGCCACCGCACCCCCTCACCCACATTCCCTTAGCACTGCTGCTGCCCACTCTGTCCAGACACAGCCTGCCCAGCTCTTGCGTCGCCCCCAGGGAGCCCCACATCAGTGCCACCCATCACTCCTGCATGTTTACTTCCCCTGGCACATGCAGGGCCTCCCCAGCCACTCCTGCTGCGTCTTGGCCCCACTGCCGCCAGTCTGGCAGCTCTCAGCTTGTTTTAAATAGCCCCTTTTATTCTGCTGTTCCTGACATTCCCATAAACACAACCTCAGAGTAAAGTTTTGCCCAAATCACCCCACACATTTTCACACATGAATGTGCAGGACACACTTAAGGAAGGATGGGCCTCTGTCTCCCTAATTGCCCACAGGAACAGGAGTGGAGAAGTGAGCACCTTCATATGTTCTTTGACAGCACTTCAATCATGCTGTATTTAATCAAGTGCAGGAGAGTCTTTCCTCATAGCCTTGAGAGGCTGTAGGTAACAGAAAGGCTTTTTCCTCTGGTCAACAGTCTCAAAAAAAGAAACACAGCTGAGATGAACACATGCCGACATTGTTATCTGAAGGGAATAGAAACTCCCTCTGCAGCAGCCCTTACAGTCTGTTTATGTGACAGGAGCACATAAGAGCCATCAGCTGCTCGAAGCAAGCTCAGCTTTCCAGGGGCAAAAACAACGCCCTTAGAGCAGAATTTCAGAAGGAAAAAATCACACCACATCATTCCCATGTACCGCTGTGTTCATGGACTCATGAGGCACAGACCTGGGAAATGCTGCAGCATTTCAGAGAAGCAGAGATCTTCCACAAAGTTATTCGGAAGTAACCATCACAAGGTTTCTAGTTGCACAAGAAGGTGGCAGCCCTGTCATGGTGGGAGCACTGTGGTCTCTCACAGTCACTATCTAGTTGGGTCATAACAGAGACAGCAGCTCTGTCTGTAAGAGACCACCAGATGGAATTATGAGTTGATATCAGAGCCACCAAAAGGGCAGGGTGACGATTTTGTCACAGACTCCCTGCTCCACTGCCCTCCACAGTGATGAGGAATTAGTTCCCAGAAAGGGGCCACCTTTCCGATCAGGACCTTGGCACGTTTATGGGTCCTCTCAGCAGTGACAATGACTGCAGCGCTGCTGGGCACATCAGGCCAGGCCAGTGGCAGCTGTTCAGAGAATTGGTCTGGAGAAGTCCCCTCTGGGCCCACCAGCAAGAAGGGTCCAGCACTGATGAGATTTATCCACTGCATACATTGCTTGGAAGAGGCTGCTGGAGCAGTGCACCTGTGCACTGGGGATATTTTGGCACTAACAGAGACTGGCTACCCTAATGTCACTGATCCTATGCCTAGTGTCCTCATGACAGCAGTGCCTGTCCTCATCGAGTGCCTGTTGCCTTTCAGAATTGTCAGGTTCCCATGGCAACTCGTAAAAGCTAAAGTGAGACGGACCATCGAGGAAGCTTTGAAAGTGTGGAGCGATGTGACCCCGCTGACCTTCAGCGAGGTGCAGGAGGGCCGGGCAGACATTGTCATTGACTTCACCAGGTGAGCATGGCAGGCAGTGATCCTTGCCCAGTGCAGCAGCAGCCCTGCCAGCAAGATCTCTAGGCTTTTACGAGAGCAAAATGAACTGTCAGCACACGATTGAGGTTCTTAAATGGAGGCTCATGTTGCCACTTTCAGACTTTGGGACTTTTTTGTCAGTTGAAGGCTGCTTGGTGAAAGTGCGGCAGCTCCATGAGAGCTGTGCACAGTACCGCTACTAATTGCTCATTAGTTTTACTAGTATGTTTATGTTTCTCTGCCCTATGGTTGTTTTCCTAAGTCTTGTCCTGACTTAACATCTTCAGGTCCTTCATCCTGTCCCTTGACTGAACGAGCTAAATGTCTGGCCCAGGACAAATATAGTTTCTTAGTTAAATGAATTTTGGCTCCCAGCCTAAAATTCTGTTTTGGCAAAACAGCCATGGGGGCTATTTTCCCTCCGCTGCTGTTTGCACAAAGCTAATAAAAGCAGTGCAGATTGCCTGAGCAGTGGTGGGAATTGCATTCTCTATAGCTGCTTGTGCCCCCTCAGATCTCTGAAGTGGTCGCAGCTGCCATGGGTTTCCTTCACCATCAGCGGCAGGCTTGGCTTGTGTGTGGACCTGAGGATTTGGCCATGTTCTCAGCTGGCTGCGCCTCCACATCCCACTGCCGTTCAGCTATGCTGACTTAATCTTGGCTCGAGCAGTCACTTCCTTAATTATTTAGGCTCTGTGGTCAGCCTGAAAACTGAACGGGGGAGGAAAGAAACCTCCATGAGAAAAGCATAAATACTCCCCAGGGCTTCATGTGCCTGAGTTTTGCCTTCTCGGTCCCCCAGCACCGAACCAGATGAGCAGAAATCAGTGCTGACTGTTGGGATGAGCTTTTAACAGGAGCGAGATCTCCTGTCCCCTGATGGTGGTTTCAGACCTTGGGCCATAGGATGCTGTTCATCTGAGGTACAACAGCGTTTGTCTGAGGTGCAATGTGTTTCCCTGCAGGTACTGGCATGGAGATAACCTGCCTTTTGATGGGCCTGGAGGGATCCTGGCACACGCATTCTTTCCCAAGACCCACCGCGAGGGAGACGTCCATTTTGACTATGATGAGACCTGGACTATTGGGAACAACCTGGGTACGGTACTGTTTCAGAGGGAGCTGAGGACTCTCCAGGATGGATATCAGTGCACTTAGAAATGATTTAACTGTGATGTGAGCAGGGCCCCTGTAAAACTCAAAGGCAACAGTCATATTTATGTGGTATGTGTCCCTCCCACTTCTTTCAAGTCCACCTGCAATTAGTCTTTCCTCATCACCTTTCAGCCACAGCAAAGCTTGTGTCCAGTATAAGGAGCCTGCTTTCCCAGGGGGTCTATGCAGGGGAGAGGAGACTGCTCCTCTGCTCAGCACATGTCCCACCATTCAGGAATTGCACCCAGCACCAGTGGGAAACATCAGAAATAGAAGAGGGAAGAAGACTGAGGCTCAGGTGCCAGGTGATGCACCCATCTTCCAAAGGACAACAGAGCAGTGAGATCTCGGTCCTGTCCCTGCACACACTGCACATGCCTGCCTGCAAAGTCTTTTCTCCGTGAACAAGTCCATAAAGGGAAACCACCCAGGCTTCGGGTCTCTCACTGTAGCCTGGGAATGCTCTGACCATAAACAACGCCACATTGAATCAAAAATTACTTTTTATTTTTTCCCCCTGCTAATTATAGATCCTGGCTGGTGGCTTTCTGCTTTGGCACTGGGGGCCTGGCGTCACGCTATCTCATGAGATATTGCAGTACTGCCCGGAAACACCTGGATCAGTGCCCAAAGTACCCACTTCTGCAAAGACCCACCCAAATTCACTCAGGTCAAGCCCTCCTCCTCCTTCTTAGTTAATCTACAGGGAACAAGAAACAACCACAAAGCCTAAGATGAACCCTGTCCCTCTGGGGTTTCCCAAATATTTTGTCCATGCCAACATTCAAGGCTCAGATAGACCCACTGCTGCATCTCCATTTCCGTGCCAGCTCTATGCCCTCCAAGTCCTTTGCATGGAGGGACAGAAATGTCATATCTCCAACTCCCCGTACAGTGACTCAAAACAAGAATCATATGAAGCACCTGATCCTTCTGACCGTCTCCCACTTAGGGAGTTTTTCACCCTGTTGGGGCTGCCTCTGCTGTTGAAGAATTTATCCCACAAGGATAGTGTTGGTGGAAAACTGGGAACTGCCAAAACACACGCCAGCTCCCATCAAAATCTAGCCCTATTCTGCAGCCTTTACCCCTGCCTCTAAGTTTTCCACAAAGACATGTAGTAAAAGCTCTTTAAATGGCACCTAATTGCCATTTAATATGCTGAAAAGAGCTTTATAACATAAACACAGGTTAATCCTTGTCTCAGCACTCAGTAAGACAGAGAAATCCTTAGCCCCATTTCGCAGAGGGAAGACCAGAACTAGGAGTGCGGCGTGAGCCCTGGGGCCACCCCAGAGGCAGGCACGAAGCAGGACCCTGAGGGGGCCCTCCCAGTACCATGTGCTTGCAGCCCTGCCGTTGTTCAGCTCCCTCCCACAAACCTGACAACAGCACCGCAGATCTGCCAACACTGGAAAGCATCAAGTGAGGAGCCTGCCAAGCTAAACAAGTGTCTTGAAAGTTTGTAATAAATCACTGATGTAGAAATCCCATATTCTCAGATAACCTAGATGTGGTCGATTTAATTGTGCCAGTGCCATGGAAATTTATCACTTTGATGTAACATTAATCAGCAGAGGAAGCCAGAAGCTCACCTTCCTCTTGGTCCTTTCCAGGCATTGTTCCCAACAGCTTCCCCACCATCCCTGTGCTGGGAAGTGACCTGCTTCCCAGGAGCCAGCAGAAATAGCCTGCTTGGAACAACAAGATGAGCTGACTTACATTCCAGCCTTTCTCATCACTTGGGCTGCAGCTTGGAGGATTTCTGGTTGAAGCCAAGTGAACGAATACGCTGAGACTTGTCAACAAACAACCTCTGGCCTCTGTTCACAAGCTTTGCTTCTTATTATGCCTCCTTTCCAGAATATAACAGTATCAAAAATGATCCACTGGAAGCTAAATAACATCTGCCAAACTACATATTTGCATAGTGAAATCTCCTTCTTCCCCCTTGCCTTTTGTAGATGCTTTCAGGTCATGTACTTCTAAAATATGAACTCCCATACATCTGCTTGAGAGGTGAAGAAAGGCCAGGCCTTGACTTTGGAGGAATTTTTATGGAGTTTTAAATGCCACCTTCCTGCTATAGTTCCTCACACAAGCCATAAATGAGCTCCCTCTGCTGTCTGTGTAGCAAGCGCTGACCTCTGTGTTCCCTCACTGATGCCCATCTCAGACAGGTAGGTAAAAACATCTCCCATCTTTTCCCTTTTTAGGCACTGACCTCCTCCAAGTGGCTGCTCACGAGTTTGGCCATGTGCTCGGCCTGCAGCACACAGCTGTCTCCAAGTCGCTGATGTCTCCTTTCTACATTTTCCGCTACCCACTCAGCCTGAGTGAGGATGATAAACAAGGTATCCAGTACCTCTACGGGAAACCCAAACTTGATCCCAATCCAACCCCGACCCAGCCAGCAGAGCCACCTCAGCCAGACCTTGAAACAAATGAGATCACCAACGTGGAGGTGAGTGAACAGCTTGTCCTCTCCTAGCACTATGAGCATGTTGGTTTGTTCCCAGCTCCTGCAACTGTGCTTACCTGAGACTACCAGCAGGCTCAAGTCTGTTAGGCCTGTATCTTCCACCCATGTTTTTGCCATGCTGTGTTCAGGTAGAGCAGAGCCCGGGTACTCCCCACATTCTGCCAGGCAGCCTGACCATGCCCAGGCCAGGCCCTATTGCCAACTATAGCTGGGATGTGCTGGGCAGAGGTCTTGAGAAACACTTGTCCAGCCAAAACCTGGTTGAAACCAGGACACCTGCCCTAGGGACCCATGGAGTATTGCAGCCATGGAGCTGCTTGACCACTCCTGTAGCGAGTGCTGTAAGTCACAGCGAATGGGGATCCTGCTGTTTAAACCTCCTTCTGCCAAGTCACACCTGAGATGTCTTCCTCCAAGCAGGGTCACTAAGAAACAGTTTAAGAAAAGCCACTGCTGCAAGGAGCAGAGGGTGTCAGCAGCTTTTGCTGATGAGATGCTGGCAGGATGCAGAGTCCTTCAGAGCTGGAGTGGTCAGAGAGGTGGGGAGGAGAGGCCTGGACACAGGGATGTGTGGTCAGTTGAACACAGCCGGGTGAGGGCAGGCTCCTGCGAGTTCAGATGCCTGACCAGGCTGTGCTTTGGCAGTCTGTGCAGCCCGACGCCTGCAACACAGATTTCGATGCCGTGTCCACCATCCGGGGTGAGCTGTTCTTCTTCAAGTCTCGCTTTGTGTGGCGGCTGCGAGCTGGCAAACTGCAGGCTGGCTACCCGGCTCTGGCCTCTCGTCACTGGCAGGGGATCCCCAGCTCCGTTGATGCCACCTTTGAGGACCCTCAGGGCAATATCTGGTTTTTCCAAGGTAAGACTTGGATGGGGATCAGAGGGCTTGGAAAAGCATCTTCTTTATTGAGGGCTATTCAGGATCCAACAAGCTGCCATGAGAAGCTACCTCTGGACACCAACGATCCTTTGTAGTTTTTTCCTTCTCTGTTTTAGCATTTAGCAGATATTGAGGGAGAATAGAGAAGGAGGAATCACTTTTATTTTAGACATAGCCAGGATATTTTCCTCCTTTGGAAAAAGGACAGTTGTTTTATTTGATCCTCTACCTCAGCAATGCTGCTGGCAGCAGAAGACAAAGGAAATGCTTGCTGTCCCTGGGGATGGAAGCATGAGGAAGAAAAAGGCAGGTTCATTGCCATCCTCAGTCACCAAGAATTAGTGATCAGCTCAGGTATCACAGAAGAGTGCTGCACCTCTCTTCATCCCAGGGCTCACCCAGGGCACGCCGTTCAAAATGCACTCTGATGTTTTACAGAATGCCTTTTCATTATGTTGTTGGTTCAGCTATGGGAATAGAAAGGTTTTTCTGCAACTGAGTCCTGTGCAAGAAACAGATGAGCATTGGCCACTGTACCTCCAGCAGCCCCAGCCTAAGGGAAGATGGGAACCAACATTACTATTAAACTTCTAAAGGCTCCACCAACTGCTCCCAGCTGCCCTGGAAAGCATTGTGCAAGAAAGAGGCTCAAGACATAATTTCACAGGTTGCCATATCTCCTGAGCCTGTGCCACACCATCTTTCCTGCTCAAGGGTCTGGACACATTGCTCTAAGGCTGAATTAGCCTACAAAGAGGCTGTGCACAGAGCCAGGCAATCCCCAGCCACTGCAGAGGTTGAAAAACAATCACTTACAGAGGAGTCAAACCTCCTCCTAGGCATTTCTGGAGCCCCAGACCAGTAATAGCGCCTGTTCCAGCTTCACTGTTTTCTTTAATGCTACTTTTGTGGAAATTTAATAGAGAGGATGCAGGATTAAGTCACTAGCAGCTGCCCTGTGCAGGCATGCTCCTCTGTACACCATGAGATCAAGTACCAGAAAATGCACCGAGCAGCTTGCAGGCATTGTTATTGCATAAGCAGATTACTTTGCACCTGACCTGCAGACAAGGTTTTACAGTGCTAAATTTGGCAGGCTCTTACCATGAGTTAAAACAAGATAAGGGAAAAGTATTACATGCTGTAGGGTAATTACAGAGATTCCCATTTTAATCTAAACTGGAAATAAGTTTCCAGTCTCTCTTTTAGTTTAGCAACCTCTTGTTGGTTGTAGATCGCTCCTTTAGATTCACGTGTCCTCATTATGCCTGTGCATGCCCACAGATGTTCTCCTCTAAGAGCAGGGCTTGTTAAGTGCAGGTCCCTCCCATCCTATCCCATGCACAGATATGGCATACAAGGGATGTGCCCGCTCTCCAGTCATAGCATGATCCATTTTTCCCTCTTCCTCCCACCTGGCAGTCCAACGCTTCACAGTATAGGTGTCACAGGAATCAACCTTCACCCTTTGTAAATCATTTTATCCAGCAACAGGTTCTGATCCTCCCTCCACATAACTAGAGCAAACTTAAAGCTCAGGGCTTTGATCCATTGCCCAAATGCCTACTTGAAAACTAAAACCAGACCCAGATGACTGGAGCATCTCGAGAGAAACACGTCCTTCCGCACGCGTGCGGGGCTCTCCACTGCGATAAACCAATGAGAAAACAGTCTGGGCAGGGGGACAGCTCAAATGCAAAGCCAAATTATTTTATAATAACTTCTACAAATAGAGAAAAGACACCTGGTAAAGCACGCTGCCTCATCCTACCCACTGACACCCTCTGGGTTGGACAGAGGTGGGAATTCAGCTTGTGCTCCTGGCGCTTCAAATGCCTGTTGGTGATAGGATCTGTGATAGTGATGAATTTTCTCCCCTTTCCATGGGAGCTCTGCCAAGGCATCACAGGCATCACCTCCAGTTCCACAGATCAGTGTCAAGTTATCAGACACTAAAGATTTTCTGAGCTTTCCTCCCTTTTCTGTCTCCTCAACAGACTCGCAATACTGGATTTATGAAGGCGAAAGGCGGGTTTCTGGCCCCACCCCTATTGTGGAGCTGGGCCTTCCTGCTTCTCCTGTCCAGGCAGCTTTGGTGTGGGGGGCTGAGAAGAACAAGATCTACATCTTCAGTGGAGGCAACTACTGGCGCTTCAACCCTCATACCCGCCAGGTGGACAACATCTACCCTCGGACCATGGCTGACTGGCGTGGCGTCCCTCAGGAAATTGATGCTGCTTTTCAGGATGAGTTTGGTCAGTGCCAGCAGGGACAAGGCCTGCTCTGGGGTGGGTTTTCAGGCTGGCCCAGGTGGAAGAACTGAGCAGATTTAGATGCTCAATAACAAGGGACACTCTCCAGCCATTACTGGATATGGTGGAATAGCTCATCCGTGCTTCCAGCATTGACTTAAGCCCCAGAGAAATATCCCTGCGGTAACAGGTGCTCTTCAGTGGGTCCTCACAAGCTCCCTGCCATTGGTCCTGCTCAGGTTCTAAGTTCCCTCTGCCCTTCCAGGGCCAGGATACTGCACTGGAACACCATATTTAAAACCACGCAACATGCAAAATAAAATCCACCATTTGCTCTTCTACCAAAACTAAAGCAGAAGGAGAGAACAGTGCAAGTCACAAATCCAGAAAAGACTGAAGATGCTGTGGAGCATCAGCAAAACAAAATGCTAGGAAAGAACTCTGAGCTGTATAGGTCTTGTCTTTCCTAACCCTTTCTCTCTTATCCACAGGTTTTGCCTACTTTCTGAGAGGCCAAAACTACTGGAAATTTGACCCGGTGCAAGTCAAAGTGCTGGACGGCTACCCACGTCAGATCAGCCAGGACTTCTTCAGCTGCACACCCGTCTCCAACTCCTTCAGATGAAAAAGGATGCCCATGTCCTCCACATTTCCCTCTTGTCTCCCTTATATCCAGCAGCCGCCCAGACACAGGGCTCCCACTGCCACTTCTGGCTCCCTTTAAGGCTCAGCATCTGACACAACTGGTGTTTGTCACAAGGGACAAAGGCTGC